TTTGGATTTTCTTTTGAAGATATATTGACACCAGATCATCATAAGTGGTAAAAACAAAGATTAGTATGTGTTTTGGACCCTATTTTTAAGGATTTGAATCACTTTTAACGGAAACAAATTTCATCAAATAATGTGTATTTTTTCCAAGGCTATAGGCTTTACTTTTTTAATTTGTTTAAGATTTTCTTTTGAAGATATATTGACCCTCGATCATCATAAGTGGTAAAAAACAATTATTAGTCTGTGTTTTGGACCCTATTTTTAAGGATTTAAATCACTTTCAACGGAAACAAATTTCAGCAGATAATGTGTATTTTTTCTAAGGCTATAGGCTTTACTTTTTCAATTTTTTTAAGATTTTCTTTTGAAGATATATTGACCCTCGATCATCATAAGAGGTAAAAAACAAAGACTAGTATGTGTTTTGGACCCTATTTTTAAGGATTTAAATCACTTTTATCGGAAACAAATTTCAGCAAATAATGTGTAATTTTTCCAAGGCTATAGGCTTTACTTTTTCAATTTTTTTTTCAAATCAATTTTTTTAAGATTTTCTTTTGAAGATATATTGACCCTCCATCATCATAGCTGGTGGAAAACAATTATTAGTCTGTTTTTTGGACCCTATTTTTAAGGATTTAAATCACTTTTAACGGAAACAAATTTCAGCAAATAATGTGTAATTTTTCCAAGGCTATAGGCTTTACTTTTTCAATTTTTTTAAGATTTTCTTTTGAAGATATATTGACCCTCCATCATCATAGTTGGTGAAAAACAATTATTAGTCTGTATTTTGGACCCTATTTTTAATGATTTAAATCACTTTTAACGGAAACAAATTTCAGCAAATAATGTGTAATTTTCCCAAGGCTATAGGCTTTACTTTTTCAATTTTTTTTTGGATTTTCTTTTGAAGATATATTGACCCCAGATCATCATAAGTGGTAAAAACAAAGATTAGTATGTGTTTTGGACCCTCTTTTTAAGGATTTAAATCACTTCTAACGAAAACAAATTTCATCAAATAATGTGTATCTTTCCCAAGGCTATAGGCTTTACTTTTTCAATTTTTTTAAGATTTTCTTTTGAAGATATATTGACCCTCGATCATCATAAGTGGTAAAAAACAAAGATTAGTATGTGTTTTGGACCCTCTTTTTAAGGATTTAAATCACTTCTAACGAAAACAAATTTCATCAAATAATGTGTATCTTTCCCAAGGCTATAGGCTTTACTTTTTCAATTTTTTTAAGATTTTCTTTTGAAGATATATTGACCCTCGATCATCATAAGTGGTAAAAAACAAAGATTAGTATGAGTTTTAGACCCTATTTTAAATGATTTAAATCACTTTTAACGGAAACAAATTTCAGCAAATAATGTGTAATTTTTCCAAGGCTATAGGCTTTACTTTTTCAATTTTTTTAAGATTTCTTTTGAAGATATGATGACCCTTGATCATCATAAGTGGTAAAAAACAAAGATTAGTATGTGTTTTGGACCCTATTTTTAAGGATTTAAATCACTTTTAACGGAAACAAATTTCATCAAATAATGTGTAATTTTTCCAAGGCTATAGGCTTTACTTTTTCAATTTTTTTAAGATTTTCTTTTGAAGATATATTGACCCTCGAACATCATAGTTTGTGAAAAACAATTATTAGTCTGTATTTTGGACCCTATTTTTTAGGATTTATATCACTTTTAACGGAAACAATTTTCAGCAAATAATGTGTAATTTTTCCAAGGCTATA